TGCATAAGAATTCATCACCTCCTTGACAACACTCAAAATGTTTGGCCTTAGTACGGTGAGTGTGGTCTGGGTGGTTTTAAACACAAGTAACGGAAAAATCTGGCTCAAACAAGTTTAAACAATAAAATCATTTTATTTTATTTTTTTCCATTCTGAAGAAGACCCAGAGGTAGGTCAGGTCTAGAGTAGTCATCAAAGACTCAAGTTCTTTCTTTTTCTTTGCTATCTTCAAAGTCACCTTCACCTGTAGGCTGATTTCTGTCCTGGTCATAGGATAGTGGCAGTAGATTCAGAACAACAATGCCAAGAAGAAAAAAGAGTCCTTCTTATATCCTTAAAAAAAAAAAAAAAAAGAGGTGAAGAAAGCTTTCTTATCAGCCCTTCAAAGAAGCCTTCTCTTGCCTTGGTAAAGATTGCATCACATGCTTGTTTTTAAATCAATCATGGAAAGAAGGGATTATAATCGTGGGTTTAGACCAGTGGTGCTCAACCTTGGTTGCATTCTGAAAGTTGAGAAAAATACTGACATCTGGGTACCACCTCCAGATATTCTGGGATGCAACCTGGGGCATTGAAAGTTTTAAAAGCTCCCCAGGTGATTTTAATATGCAGCTAAGCATTTGAGAATCATAAATTTAGACCAAACGTCTGGGGGTAAGGGCAAAAAAGGGCTTAGGGGTAAGAAATAGATATTGGATTATAAACCACCATAACCATTGGATATTGTTATACTTTCAATGTGAATTTAAAAAGATGTATGTGCATGTATAAATGCACACATAGGATTAAAATCAGATTTGGAGGAATCAGTATTTACAGGGAGACCAGATGAATGTGGTCCATATTAGAAGAACAAATTGATGCATCCAAAGCCAGTCAAACCATTTATGAGGAGGGTTATAATAATGCATATACAGAATTACTTTTGACTCTAGGAAAGTACAATAAACTAAAAGGTGATGACAGTGAATAATACTTATGAATCTTTGAAGGGAAAAAATATGAGAATACTCTTAAATTCTGGAAACCCTCTTTAAAAAGTTTCTAGTATCAAATTTTGTAGTTGCTACTTCAATATTTTTCAAATTCCTTCTATGAAAGCCAAATAGTTCTCAAGAATTCTTGAATAGTAAAAAAAAAAAAAAAATTAAGAGGTTTCACTGGTATAAAAAATATATATGAATAAACCAGGATACTCCAGACTGACTACCTAAAAAATTCAGATGCCCTGATTTTTAAAATTTATTCATTTAAAATAATTTCTCTCCATTCTCAAACAGATTGCGTCCCATCCCCCAAGTAGGCATGCATTCGTCACGTTGTCACTATTATATTTGTATAGAATAGTGGTTATCAACCAACACATTAGTCATCTGGGAGGACTTATTAAAATCTGACTCCTCCCTCCCACGTCCATCTCCATAAATTTGACTCTTTAGGGGTTAGGGCCCAGGGTATCTCTATTTTTGAAAAGTTTACCAACTGATTCTGGTGTAAAGAGGACTGAGAGTTATTAGTACAAAGGGAAAAAAGAAGGTAGATAACAGGGACTTAATCTGTTCTCTTGTTCTTAGCTTTAAATTTTCCTCCCCAAGATTTAAGCTAAACTGAGTAATTAATCAATCTCGTGGAAGAGTGTAAACATTTAATGTCTTTGCTCAAATGGATTTTCCAAGTAAAGGTAAAGCTTTATGAAGCTTCAAATGTCTTTGGTAACACTCTGTAAATACTTGTGGAAGCAGCTGACTCACTACTGAGATTCCTAAGTACCTCATACATAGCCCTTTGCACTTGAGGTGCAGAGAAGCCGTTTGACAGCTGTTTTTACTGTGGTTGGTGGCTAGAGACTGTCATGGAGAGAAGAAAATCACTAACTTGAAGAATCATAAAAAATGATATTTTAAAAAGGTGATAAAACAACAGGTGGGTCTGTAATCTTTGTGCCCAACCCAGATTGTACCACAGGTAAAACTGTACCTGCTGCAAACAGTATGTGTGCCCACTCAAGTGGGCACACTTCTGAAAACTATGGTATAATTTAGGCCATCCCAGGAATGGGCTAAGTGTACTTTGGGAAAAGCTTATTAAACCACCGATTAAATAAGCATCAGTAACAGAAGTAGTGAAAGTCATAGCTCTGGAAAAAGAAATGCTTAGCATTGATTGAGTCAGAGTAATTTAGATAAAAACCTAAAAGGTGGACTATGGTAGAGTGGAAAGAGCCCAGAAATTGAGCCAGAAGACCTGGATGCTGATACTGGATTTGCCACTATTTGGCTTTGTGATCTTGGACAACTCATATTAATTTCTGTGAGCCTCAGTTTTATGATTCAAGAATCGATTCAAGAGATGAGCTAGTCCAAGCCTTGGGCTCATTGTTGCAGATGTATTCCCAATGTCATGATACTCAATTTGTAATTTAAAAGATCTGTTTAAGTCATATCTACAAATAATGTAGAGGAATGCATCTGTCATTTCTCATTTTATATTCCACATGATAATTTCCAGAATAATTTCACAATTTGCCTATCATTTCGTTGTAAATCTTATATATACATTGTCAGGAAAATAATGGCTTTAGTTTCTGAAAGGGAGTAAAAACTACTTTCAGCATCTTGGTCAAATCATGTACAGCACACCTCTGTTCTTCGGCATTTTGTCAAAGCAATTTAAATGTAACGAACCAGTACAAGAACAAAAGACCTGGAAGCAAAAATGCTGTGATAACTACAGAAAAAGTTTAGCCTTTTCTAGTAAATATTCAAAATAATGGCACTCTTAGAGTATGTAAGTAGGTGGTATTGCCTCGTAACAGGATCTTTTTTAGCAAAGTGTTATGACTCATGAAGCTTTCTTTTGCTTTACAATGTTGCTATAAACATAGTTATTTCCTGACTTAAGATGGACTAAATATCTTATATTCCCCGAAGTAGTTATTCACCTTTCTATATATGAAGTGAATAAACTATAGGAGATGACTTTGGCAAATTTGGAACAATTGGGACCAAGAGGCTGAATCTTCACAGAGTAGCCTCTGACCTTATGCAGCAGAGACAGAACACTAACGGACCAGTTATTCCGAGTTCAGGAAAGAGTCAGTGGAGAAAGTGAACATACTTTTTAGAACAGTTTTCATGAGTGCTGGTGAAACCTATAGTCATGTGTCCTTTATCTTAGGCATTTGGTTCTTGTACTAAAATAATTAGAAACAAAATAATAGCAATAAAAGCTTTCTCACACACCTTACTCGGATCCTGTTTGCACAGTACAATTTTAGCTATTTGTTATTTTGAACTGAGGTATCTAGACTTGATAACGATGTGTTTAATTTCACACACATGCAAATTTCACTTTTGAACAAAGCACTTGGACTTGGTTTACATGTTCACCTAAATAGTATTCACAATCAAGTTAGGTGGTCCTACTTATGCTAACAAATGCATATCTTTCATACTAGAAATGTACATAGAACTGTTTTCTAATTTTTTTCCTTATGAAGATAATTCCTTTTTTAATATACACATTATGATGTTGTAGACAGGATTTCAGTATGTGATGGATCAATGTTGGCCAAAATCCAAGGCAGCTGATTTAATTAACCAACCAGAACCTCCATTAATTGTGGATTCAGGTATAAAGTAATCGCCTTGTAAAGATGATTATTAGCCAGGAGAATATTAAAGCAAGAACATTATTAAAACTATAGTATGGCTAATTAATTAATTACCTTCTGGCTAAAGCTTAGCTCAACTTTTCAATGTAAAATGATTATGGATACAGAAAAGCAAGTGCCCTCTAGAGTTGAGTGTATTTAACTCCCAATGTCACAGAACAATTTAAATAATAAATATATTGTACATCTTTAAAATTTTGGTCACTTTTTCTAGAGGTCAAATAGTTTAAAAGAAAAAAAGTTTACTGCAAATATACAAATCTTGTATTCCACAAATTATAGATCCAGCATTTTTGGTGAGTGCTCTTAAACATTTTCTCTGGACTTACCAATTTGATAGTCACTTTTGATAAATGTTATCTCGATTTGCAAAAATGCATGGTTAGATGATTTCTAGTCACTTTGATAATCAGAGCACTATCTTACCTAACACTTATAACAGAAAGGTTGGTATGCACCTTTTACAACTGTTTGTGGTTTCAGCTGCCAGCTATCAGAGAAATGTCCCAATAATTGACAAAAGGGAGAAAATAAAAGATAAGTAACAGAAAGAAAAGAGGTGGTAAGGTAGGTAGATTTTTCATTTATCTTGTGATACATTCTCCAGCAGTAAACACTACTATCTTCTAAATAGATCCTTTGAAGGCAAAAAAAGGGAAACACTCCCAGAGAAAGCTTTATAAACTGGGACTGACCTGTTCTCTGTGGTTTTGTCCTTTTGTAAAGTCTGCATGACCTCTCAGCATTAAATAAAACAAGGGTGAAAGGGCTGATGATTTGATTTGGCGAGTTAGTTACAGAAGTAGCTGTGGCATCTGTTATGTCCACCCTGTTATCCATTACTTCTGTTAACAGCAACAGACATTTGATTAACTACTGAGATTTGGACATGAAGGGAATCCGAGGTGGGTTGTGAAGTAAATCACATAGCTAAATCTCCATTTCATCTTCACCTCACCTGTTCCTGTTTCCAGATTTCTGGCACACTGGCAGGTGGAGGTCTTCACCTCAGGGGCAGAAGAGACTAATTATTTCAAGAACAAGTGACAAAAAAATGTATATTATAATAGCCTGGAAATATATCATTTATATATCATTTTGGGGGTATTATTTTTTAGAAGAATTAAAAGCAATTCTTCCCTTCTCCCCCAAATATGTACATTAGATAGAAATTATGAGAATTAAAGAATTTTAAAATATTTACAAAACATTTAACTTATGCACAACTACAGCAGAACAAGGATTGCCTCATGTACATTTCATAGCTTGAGTTTAAGCAAAAGCTCCAAGTAAAAAAGGGCAAAAAAAAAAAAAAAAACCACCCAAATTTCTTAGTAGTAATCAATGGTTTATCAATCAAAAAGAACATAACAAAAATTTATCTTAGGCATTAACATTTACTGTAAGCCAAAATACCAAGAAAAATCCATTTGAAATACTGTTTTATTTCCTGACTTGTTTATAATCCAGGTCATAAAAGAAAGTCAACTTTCTTCTACATGGCTTATACAGAATCAGATGTTACAGCCAGAAGTAACTGTTAAGAGCATCTAGTAGTTCAAATGACTATGACACCTAAAGGGGTAAATGAATTTCTTAAGACCAAAATCTGACTACAGAAGGTCAGGAACTCATACCTTAGTCTTTTCATTGTCAGTTCAATACTTATTTTCTCCTACACTGAATATATTAGAAAGCGTCCACACTTGATATTTGTCAGTATTCAAAAGAAGGCACAATCGATTCTGGAAAATCAAAACTGGACAATGAAGGGAAATATCAATTATAAAAGACCAACCAATCAGCCAAATTATGGAAGCAACATAGTCATGGACCAAACCTCATAACCTGAAAAGAACCAAGAAAAAAACTATTATTTATTTAATACCAGTACTTCTCAAAGAGCTTAGGCCAGGGTCCAAACTTGACTTTGGTGAGACCCGGAGGTTAAAGGACTGAAAAAATGGAGTGGAGGCATACAGTTAAGGTCAGAATTGGTCTTATTGGACAGCACAGTCTACTGTGAAAGGGCACAGTGAACCTGCCTTTACTTGTTGGTTGAGAAATGGTCCAGCCATGGGCTAGCAATCTATTCATCAGAGGAATGCAAACACACTCACTCCAACAATGCATTGGCTCATGCAATGCTCTTTTACAGCTTAAAGTAGAATATAAACTGCTATTTAGGGTTACTCGCTTATTTAAGATGTCAGTCTAGCAACTGTTGAGGCAAGACATGGTGACTGTTATTGGCAGAGAGGATGCAAAACTGATTTAGCTTATACTATATGCTCTCTACCCTTCTTAATGGAAAACTTTCTCAAATAGAATACTTTAAGTGTACAAAGTTCAATATGTAACAAATGTAAAGATGTCAAGGATATAGATTTAAAAAGTGTGAAATATAGGTAACAAAGCCAAAAGCCAATATAAAACATGACTACATATTCCATCCTATAATCTCATAAATCAAAGCTTTTAACTGTCTGGATTCGTAGGTGACTGTATTCTTTCCAGTATGAATTCTATCTTCTTCCAAGGGTTGTTCAATAATGGCAGGTATATTCCTCTTGATAAGGTTCCAAGCTTTTGATAACTCGAGAAATCCCAAAGTCATAATTTCCTTTGGCACAGTAAAGCGTCCCAATCACCAAATTCACAATACAGAGATGATAGATTTTCTTATCTGGGTCATGATAGGAGAGCTGCTCTTCCTCCTTCTCAATCTTCCTCATCAATTCCTCAGCTTCTTCATTCTGACTTGTCATAATGTATGAAACACAGAGGTTAGCCAATACAATAGCACTGACATTCAGGATGTTGTCATAATGCTTCTTGACTATGGGCTCATAAAAACCAATGGCTTCTTTGTATTTGTTTTCCTGCATGAACAGGACATGAGCCACATTCAGTTTCCACACATCATGGTCATTGCAGAATTCCACAGATTTGCGGAAGATCTTTTCCACCATTGGATAATTTTCAAGGTTCCAGTAGATTTTTGCCTGGGCCATCAACACGGGAATATACTTCTCCAGGATGTCATCATAGTCATTCACTGCCCTTTTTACAGCTTCATCATCTCTATTGTGTCTTGCTTCCTGCACTTGTTTGGTGAGTCTCCGGAGCTGCTCAGTCAGCATCCCTGCTAGCCCATCAAGTTTAATGAACGCCTCTTCAGGAGCTGTCTGGCAAGTGATCATGGCATCCAAGAAGTCATAGAGATAGGGTGTGAGGAATTTATAAGTCAAATGAGCATTCTCTGCCAGGACATCAGCTGCCAGGTCAAAATATTCATATTTACAGTAGAGCAGCAACAAGTTGCCAAAGGTCTCTGGGGGAAAGGGGTTCTGTTGGAGCAAAAACTGTAGCTTTTCAAACCCTTCTGTAGGTCTGGCATCCATGTTTATCAGTGCCTGGTTGTGCAGGGTCACGGGGTCTAACTCTTCCTCTGCCCTGGGTGGCATGTCAGTGAGGGTTTCCTGGGCCACCTCGTAGTTTCTCAGTTGGTATTCTATGGCCGCCTTCAGGTTGAAGGCTTCCACCAGAGCAGTCTGGTGAAGCACTAACGTGTTGCCAACACTGCGAACATCAATGCCCTCAGTGGTCATGCCCACACCTAGCTCCGGGTGCTGGCGGATGCCGTGCTCAATAATGTCAGCGATATGCTTCAGAGCTGAGGCATACTGCCGGCTACTGTAATGGGCCAAGGCTAGGTTGTAGGAAAGGTCGGGCCGGTAGCCCGAGGCCTGAAGGGCTGCAAAGAACTTGGAACATGCAGCTTCATACTGACCCTCCTTGTAGAGTAAACAACCCAGGTTGACCTGGCCATCGGGCTCGTTCTCGCCCCCACAGTCTTCTCCCCCTTCCCCACTCAGTAGCTGCTCCACCAGGCTCCTGGCCCCAGGCAGATCGCCCTCGCTGTACTTGATAGCGGCTTGTAGACGGAGGACCCGGCTGTGGTAGGCGGGATTGTCCAAGAGCAGGAAGGCGACCCGGGTGGCCTCTGGATAAAGGCAGGCCTTGTATAGGGCCTGGGCCTGGTACAGGCGGTACTGCTCCAGTTCCGGGTGCAGCTGGCTCAGCTGCTCATAGCACTCGGCGGCCAGCGAGAACTCCTGTAGGCGGTAGTAGCAGTAGCCCAGCAGCGACAGGCCTGCGCGGCTCCTCGGGCTCCGCTGGAGCTCTCCGCCCAACAGCTGCGCCACCTCGGCGTAGCGGTTATCCCGGATGAGCCGGTACACGACCGCGGTGAACTCCCCGTCGGGGATCTGCGTACTGCCCAGCCCCGCCATAACCGCCACGGCGGTTGTGCGTCTTAGTTACCAAGGCAACAAGCTAACCGGAAACGGAAAACTAACCGGGGATTACTTTGTAACGGAAGGAGACTGTTAGTAATAAAAAGGAATCACTAACGTGAGTTTTTTGAGTACTGATTCAGTCCTTGGGAACGGGCTGCGGAGGTAGTAAATCACGGAAAAGAGGGGAAAGCATCTTGGTAGTTCAGAAACGGAAACTCCACTTCCCGGCATGCACCGGTGAAATGCGCTCTGGCCGTTTGTGACGTAGGTGCGCTGCATGCTGGGAGACGTAGTCCCTGCGGGACGAACCCACCGCTTGGCGGCTAGGGTTGTGTTGATTGCCCTTCTGTTCCTATAGTAGGTGAGGCTTGCTGGCTGTTGTGTCACCTCAGTCTCAGGCGCGGGGCAGGAAGAGTTACTGTCCTATGTTCTCGGCATTTTTGAGCCTTATACACTCTGTGCTACATACAAATGGCGTCGTTTCGTGTTTTTGTAAATTAATGAGAAGGAAAAGGTGGAATATTTCCTTGGAATTCCCGTGGAATTAGAGTAGGTTCTGTTTCTAAAATACCTTGAGGGCACAGGGTCTAAGAAAAAAAATATGCAGAGACCAAGAGCTCTTACTTTTGGCGTCTCCACAGTCTGACGATAGGAAATGGTTTTGTGAATCTTGTACTGGGAGACCTTCAATTAGATCCAAGTGTCTCCCACTCCCTTTTTAAATAACAACAATTATTATGGAGCAGATATTGGCTTTTAAACTTGGCCATGTTTACTGCCCGTGCCCTCCAACTTTCACTACAAATAAGAAAACAGTCTTCTTTGATCTCCTTCCATCTCCACTGATTTTCCATGATCAGCACTGGCCTGTCCAGTACCTAAGATAACTGGTGTCTGAATAAAAGCCTGTCTTTACTATATACTTAAAGACTTCCGTGCAAGTTCTTTATCTGCCTTCGCTATAGTTTTGGGGCCCATACATAAATTTCAGAGCCAGCATCAACTGTTATATGGCACTCTATTAGACCACTTACAGATAATAATTCTAATCTTAATATCCATTCTGTATTATATACATTACAGATGAAGAATCTATATACTGGAAAGTTTCAAGTAATTTGCTCGAGACCACACAGTTAAGTAGTTAGCAGCTCTGCCAGGATATCTAACAGCTAGTTTCAGTAGGAAACAGTGACTGATGAATAATCTATATACCTCCTATAGATAGCGTTTGGTGTCAAGTTGTATGATGGAAGATTTGTGCCTTTTTTTCTCCATTAAAACAATCAACCGAGTTGGTGCAGGCCGTAGAAATTTGAACTTCCAGGCCTGAATTGCAGCTGTGAGAGTAGATAATAAGAAGTAACTAGTGTGGGTGGTATAGCTCCTTGCCACTTGGAATAGCTCAGAGAGGACTTTTGTGGGCATGTAATTGCTCCTATCATAAAACTGACTTTATGTACTCATTCAGTCGTATCCCTTGCTGAGAAATTGGCAGAGCTATGTTCTTATGGGTAGTGCCAGACAATCTTCCACTGCGTGACTATCAAGAAAGAGACAAACTGCTCATTTCAGAGGGATTGAGTGGGGCCATGGGACACTTAAGTTATGCAAAGAAAGCAGTTGACAAGGACCACTATAACCCTAGTCAGAGGCTTCTTACAACACAATCTTTGGGTGCACCTTTTAAGGGCCCTCAACCCAGGGAGGTATATGGGTTGAGAGATGGTGGTTAGTGCTGCTCAATAATTGAAGGTGAGTGGGGGAAGATCTTTACTTGTATGGCTGGCTGACTACATATACAGTCCCTTGGAAACTCAGGCTCAATATTTTAAAATTCTTATGTATGAACTGTTACTTTGAGTAAGTTGCTGTTAAATCAAGACAAGATGATAGTCTGTCTCTTTGTTTCTCAAGATTCTATTTGCATCATGGAAGGATTCACCTTCAAATGGCTTCTCAGAAGTGTGTGAAAAATAGACTGTCTACTCAACCTCAAATTTCTTCTATCCTTACAGACATCAGTTGAGGTTCTCCTCTGTGTCAGTACCTATCTGTGAAGGTGGCTGCTGAGGGGGCAGGAAAGAGGCCATTCTGTGCCTCCTCCGTATTTTATATGCCGCTGCTCCCTAGGCCTGGCTTGAAAAAGCAGGACATTCGGCTTAGACAGATGGAGGGCAGGGTCATTTTCAAAACGAAATGAGTGTTCAAATCACACTGTGAAATTGGCATGACCATCACTGCTGCTGTAATAAGCTGACTTTTATTTAGTCTCTGATAGGCATTTGGGGAATAGATTTGTGGGGGGAGGGCGGGGCCTGGAGAGATGGTGAAAGAAGGCCCTTTAATTAATGATAGAAATTCTGGAAAGCAATATATAGGGCGGAATATTATAAAATGTCATAAGGATCATTTTGTCTCCAACAGAATCTTGAAAGCTGGAGCTTATATCAAAAAGTAAGTGTATCGTACCATTTGTAGAAATAAGGAATTATTTAGTGTTTGCCATAAAATGATTCGGCGCCTTATTGAAAGGAATTAGGCTTTCGGAAAATGGTGTTGGACTCAGGTGGATTTTGCTGTGTAAGAGGAGTCATGTTTACCATGTAGAAGAATTCCATTCAGGCAAAATGTGTAGAAGATGAAAGTATGATGTTTGGTTCTTAACATGCTTGTGTTTCCACTTGCCAAAAATGTGAGATGATCAAATCCCATATTCTATTTGTATGTATAATCTGTCATTCTCTTTTAAAATTAGCTGGAAGTTATGTTTTCTTATTTATCCTGTAAATGTGACCACTTTCTATTGGTAAACATTGGTAATTTGTGATCACCTCAACAACCACAGCTGTGGTTAACCATCTTCCTTGATAAAGGAAAACCTTCTGCAAAACCATTTTTCAGTTGCTTTTTTTCTCCTTTCATTCCAGGACATTTTCTGCAGGATGGCCAGTTTTGGGAGGAGGGGGTGCTTAGTTACCTTGCTTCCTCGCCCCACTATCTCCCATCATAAACAGGGAAGAAAAGAGTAAATTAGTACCAAATTGGTAATGTAGTTGGCTGACTTTCAGCAGCATCAGTTCAATCTTTTAAAACTTTTGAAAAGATTGTGTACCAAATCAGCGCTTGGGAACATTTATGCTCAGATGGTGAGACATTTAACCTCATTATGAACTCTCTTTTCCCTGGCAGTTTCAGTTTTATTAATATTTTAATTAGATTTTCTCCTTGGATATACCTTGTCTTTTATCAAGTAGTTTATATTTGGGGGCTTATGGTGTTATGATCTAAATTAACTTATAGGAAGAGCACAGTAGCATGTAGTTTATAAAAAGAATTAGCAGAGAAGGCACTACTGTGGATACCGGCATTTAAAAAAAATCAACCAACCATCCAAACAAAGAGCTCCTGTGGCCCCTGTGTTTATAAAGGGTACTTTCTGTACCAGAACAAGGTCCTGCTTTGCCTAACTTCCCTCATTAATCCTTACAGCACTTCTGTGAATTAGGTGATTCTTATTGTTGGCCCCATTTGAAAAGCCGACCGCAAAGCACAAAAAAGCTGGTGGTTGCTGCAGCCAGCACTCAGGTACTGGTGATTGCTTAAGCTGGCCAGTAGGGGCCACACTGTACCTCTTCCCTCTCTTCCCTTGGCACCTCCTCTCCAGTCGTTTGAATTGGCTTTGGATCATTTGCTGCAGTTTGTTCTAATAGAACAGGCACAATGGTGTAAGAATTTTAAAGTTTAAGCACCGAAGCCGTTGTGTAATTGTATGGCGTCATTGTGGCTGGTGGCCCTGCATTGATGCTTCCCCTGTGTAATTGCCCATGCAAATTTGAGTAATCTGTAAGGACACAGGAACCCGCATTTGGCTGCAGACTCCTCTCCCTCTAGAAAAACTTGAATAATTTCAAGAACATTTTGTCATCTTTAAAATGCTCCACAGACAGGGCTGTCCCAGTATCTCTCTCTCACAGGCAAACATCACAGATCAAGACAAGGTTAATGGGCTAAAATGACAGACAGAATTTAAATTGTTAGTGTATGGATGCATGCTTGCCTCTTTCAGTCCTTAAATCACCCTTTTCAAGAGAAATAAAGATTATTCCAGAGTTAAACAAAGCATTTTATTAAAAACAAAGATATTTAGGTCTCTGAAAGCAGACTATTCAAAATAATGGATTAGTTGCTTATGAAATGGCCAAGCAGTCTATAATGTAGTAGTCTTACAATGAAACATCAGCCTGGGAAATCTACACAAAGGAAGTGACTTCAGACAACTCAATTTAAGACATATTTCCCTTTTTGTGTGTGTAAAACAATAATATTTAGGAAGCAAATCAGCAGGGGACCCTTTTTAGATTATTGTACATCAAAATGAAATGGCAAAAGCAATTTTCCTCAAAGAGAATGAGCCTCAACAAAACCTAGCCTTCTATTTCCACATTATGCTCTTTTTTTTAAAGTCATCTAAATATGATTAAATCTAAATCTGAAGACAAAAAATGAGATTCTAACACACACATATGCACACAGAAAACGAACATAAAGATAAACGATGGCCTTAAATAGCATTTTTTTTCCACAGCAAATACTTCATTTACTTAATAAAGATTTCTGTATACATTCAGTGACATTGATATAGACTACACAGAAAAGCGGCTAATCTTTAGCATTGCTGAGAGATGTGTCAAATATACAAGAACATTTTTAATTAAAATATAAAGATATACAACCCAAAATTACTAGCTGTGGGAAAGGTAGTAACCCAATGCTAGGAGAGCGTCAGGCATTACTAAATCCAAGTGCTCATCATGAAATTCTCCAAACACGCTTCATTTTATTTCTTCCAGCTATGTGTTTTATTCTATTATTACTCACTTATGAAACTTAGGAAATTTTGGCTTTCTTGTAGTCAGATGCAATAGTTAAATTTCCTAATACGTTTGAGTTTTGGGAGTTCTTTACAGCACGTGGAAGAACAACATTTTCAGAGACTGTTATTCTGAAGCAGATAATGAAACTTCACTATAGTGGTGCTGCCATAGTTTTTAGGTTCCCAAATCAGGTTTTGTTCTGTTGCTTTAATGAATCCTTTTCGAGTTTTTCTTTTTTCCAGCTAAAACATTTTTATTTAGATTTAAATCTTCCCCTGATATCTTCAGATATCGGTCCTGCTTGAAAGAAATTGTTTCACACTATTACTGTATTTTATCTTTCTGCAATTCATTAAGAGTCAGCAGGAGAAGTAAATTTTAAAATAATTGTACTGCAAAGTAAATTGGACAGACTCTTTAATGAGCTAAGGTAAGAGGATAAAGCATGAAAAATTTCAATACATGAGAAAAACAATGGAATTCCTATAACAATAATATTATTTCACTAACAAAAATTTAAAGATTATTTCTAACTCAAGTAACTATAAAATATCTGGAAATGTATGAACATCTCAGATTTTAGAAAAAGAAAACACACATGCAATCTTAACTTCTTTTAACTCACTGTATAAAATTATTTCTAAATTAAACTGACTGCCAATTTATGAGATATCTGTGATATGAGATAATCTAAAATTGTCCTTTATGAGATAAAAGAGTATATTTTTAAAAAATTGTACTGATGACCATATCTTTCATGATTACTAGAGGCAGGCTCAGACACATCTGTGGTAAGGTTTGTTTTTATATCTAACCCATATATGTAACTTTTATTTTGTCCTATAAGAAGATGATTTCTTTAGGTTTGTTCCTATTTTATTAGAGAAGAGTAAACAAGACAGTTATCTGGAAAAAGTTTTTAAAGTTAAATACTGCTTGGTCCTTTGGTATGGAAATGAACTGAGTAAAAGTCAGTGCTTTTATTTTACAGATGGAAAACCTGAGACCTGGAAAGTCCCAAAATAACAGGTCCAGCCAGTGGCCAAGCCAGGATGGAGCCCCAGTTCTACTGTGCACTGGATGGCACCCTTTACAGTTTGCCAAGCTGTTCCTACTGGCCAAGATTGCCAGCTACATTGTAGGGTATGCACATATTATCTACACACTGAATAAGAAGAGAATAAATAACATCTCTGAAAAAAAATAATGCATCTCATGGAGAAAGTAGGATGAAGTCATTTCAACCACGAATGCCAAGATACCTGAGGAACTAAACATAATCTGGTCAGTTGGAGGTTGTATAAGAAGGCTCACATTTTAAATGCCTTCCTCTAATTGGAAATCAACATTTATAATAAGGACTGGGAAATTTCTTCTTTCTCTGTTTTGGAAAAGCAGACTATATGGCTAACTACACATACCTCACATTCTTGGAAAATTATACATTATTTAAAAGGCATTAAAAATACCTCATATTCCCTCAAGAGTTCAACCTGTAACCCCCTGGGTTGTTGGCACAAGGGAGGCTGCCACCCTCCTTTTCCACAGCTATGGTCTCAGAGGAACAGACCCAACCCACAGCATTAGTCAGCAGTTTCTGAATTTTGACCCACAATAGGAAAGATATTTCGCGACAGGAAAAATAGATGGAGGCAATTACAAACAGCTGCTTGATTGATGGTTGACATTGTCAGGGCTCCACTGTATGGCAGATTGCAATGGTCTTGAACTCCCCTTGCTACCAGCGGATGTTGCTATTAGCAACCGTGCAGTGAAGCCAATAAAAAGGCAAGAAAATGAGAGGAAAACTCAACCTTAGTGGAAGCTGTAGGGTTTGTGCTATAAATTATGTTCCCCTTAGCAATATGCAGCATCAGTGTTCAGGGTAGCTGCCTGCAGTCTCCATTGGATTCTGGGTCTAGTTTTATCATAAAGCACATGCTTTAAAATTTTGCTCTAGATAGACTTGCATCCGTCTGTCTGAGCTATTTATTTATTTATTGTTAGGGAGGATAACAGATGTGGGTTCATCTCTGCCTCACATGGACTGATTTTCAATTCCCATTTGTGATATACACATGATGTGGCACAATAGATAGAAGCACCTGCAGGGCTCCAGAGCTTCAGACACATACCCAGGCTCTGTCCCTAACTCCACCCACCCTTTGTTCTTCACCTGAGGAGAAGAGACAGCCCAGCAGAAGCTATTTTCCTTTATAGCAGAGTGATTCAGAAAACTGGCTTAATAAAATCCATAAATCTGAACAACCTCCTCTTACCTGCTCTGCAGAGGCAATTTTTCCTGTACTCATTTTCTCCTCTAGTTTCTCCAGTCTTCCCTGCAGAGACGGCTGCAAAGGGTAGCTAAGAACATTATTTTTTAGGGCTCTGACTCCTTCCTTCTCTCTTTTGTCAAACCCTTCCCTGCTCAAGTATCTCTCTTTTCTAAGCAATTGATGACAGGATTCTGTACCCTCATCTTTTTGGTTAGAAGTGCCATTTTTCTTTGTTTGGATTGACTTTCACCTTTCCCTTGGCAGTTCTCTTACCACCTGCCCTGGTCCCTAGCTTGTCTTTATTGGTCCTCTTTTGCTTCTCCTCCCCCTCCCTCTCCTCTTCCCTCTCCTTCTTTTATCCACCTTTTCCTGGTTTTAATTTTCTTTTATTTTATTCTTGCCACATAGGCTCTTCCATACGAATACCTGCTCTTCCCTCACTTCCATTTTGGTACCTTAATTTATCCATTCTTTAGACATTTCCTGAATGTCTGCTATGTGCCAGGAAAATAATCTTCTTTGTGGAACTTGGCCCCTATTGCTTTAGTATTTGAGTAAACACACTGAGCAGTGGCAACAAGAATGAAAAGATGGTTTGTAGATTTTACACTTTTTGGAGCTGGAATGGGCTTCAGGCTTCATCTGGTCCAAGGATTTTCAAACTTCTCAGAGCCCTTTTATGGCCCACCATGTATGTAATGAAAGAAATGAGGATTTTCAGGGGTTTGGGATCCCCTAACCTACTTCAAATGGAGGACTTGGGCTTTTAGACGTTTTATATATTGGGAATTCCTTGTAAGATATATTTGAACAAAGAGTTCTAACGTTAAAATGTGTTTAAAAATAATTTCCTAGTGTATTCTCATTTGACAAATGAGGAGATAGGCTGTGGGAAGTCAGGTGACTTGTCCAAAGTCATCCAGTCAATCATGGCAAAGCTAAGGTTATAAGTCTAGCTTCTAGTTAGTGTGCTTTGGATATGGCATACTCTATCCTCAGTCTTAGGTAAAATAGGAAGCAAAGTAGCTTTCCAGTCATCGCATCCATTTACTATAGTTTACTTTTACCCATTATAAACCTGCTTTCAAGAGAATATTCATTCTCTGCCCAGGCCATTATTTCTTAACCTTTTAAGCATTATTTCATACACTTAAGCAAAAATCTAAAACTGGAGACTCTTGCATTTGGCTGTAGGTTGGTACTGATAGTAACATTAAATTTTATTTTAAAAAATTACTAAGATAACTCAAGATAGTCAGTGATCATTCTCCGTGGCTCTGTCGTGTCCTATGAAACGTCTTACTGTTGGAAATGGTTCCTGAGTGTTCATATGTCACTTGTGGTAAATCCAGCTATAGAGTTCCTATCATCCTTACTTTAATTAAAGTCTATTAATCTATTCCTTCTGGGAGTAGACTTGGTCTACAATGAAAGTCGAATTAAAAAACTGAAAAAGGGGACCACAACCTCAACGCCGTGTTAATGAACCTTGGGTAAACACCAACCAGAGACATTTGCTGTATTTCTACAATGGCCCTTTTCAGGGGAACAGTGTGAATGGTTGGTATTTGTAAGGATAATAGAGTTTATCTTTTAGGCAGGCAAGTCTAAAGGCTCTGAGCCATCATTAAGAAGCTTAGGATAAAAATAAAATACCTTATTGAGATTCTTGGGACAGTCTGGCACACAAGGGCAGTCAGGAGAGGATGCAAAGACAGGCATCGTTTGGCTTGTAACAAATCAAAGAGCCATATACAAAATGAAGCGGCGCGAGTGACACCTTTATGGTTCTGTGTTGCCTTGGCTTAGAATGAGAAGGGCTGGCTGTCCTCAGGTCCTGAATCTGCAGTGGTCCTCTGCCCAATGCCTTGTCTCAATCGCAGCCCATGTCTGTTCATCAGGGAAGTTGAGGACCCTGGAGTGTCCCTGTCCTACCTCTTCCTCTGTCTTTTCTGTGGTGCTCTCCTTTGCAGACCACAGTTCAGGTGAAAGCCCAGGCATGCTTCCAGTGCATCCTTGAGACTTTATGTCTGTCTGAGCTTAAAGGAACAAAGGATGATGTAGCTGGACCAAAGCTAGGCCTTTAAGACGTAGTCATTTTGCAGCAGCAGCTGACCTGGAGGGTTAGTTACTATCTGCCCCGGCCACCATGAAGCTGGCAGAGGAGGGTGAGGCAGCTGAGACTAGCAGCCTTTTCTGGTGCAGCTCTTCCCATTTACTTCTGTTTGCAGCCACCGAATCCACCATTGGCTTCAGTTTCACATTGACCTTCACCAGTGCCTAAAATAAAACAATAAAAAGGTGAGAGAGAGATGAACTGGAGTCACTGACATGATTTCCCAGCTTGTGAGAATGGAAACTAGCTGTAAGAAATGAAAATGATGATTATTTAGATAATCATGAGCTTTTTACCAGAAGTAAATATGCATTTAATATCATTGTTTTATATTAATAAAGCCTATGTAGAAAATGAAAAAATAAGACAGGTAGCTGTGTACTGTTCGAGGGGGTGCCAGCCAATTAGATTATGATCCTGTTTAAATCCACATTAGATAGGATGGGAAACAAAATATCCAGCTCACATACATCTTACTGATATGAGTATTTTTGCCTGCCGTGGAGGCCTGCAGATCTCCATAGACCATGAACTTAAATTTTTACAAAAATAAACCTACTATTTGCTCCACCATAGGTGACTCTGGGTGGACTTACCTGAATAAGAAAGGTCAAGTAAAATCTTGAAACAAGAGGAAGTGCTCTTTTTTAAAACTGAGGACTGGGGAGCTGTGCCAAATGTACACATCGCCATGAGAACATGTATGGAAAGAGGCATGAGGAAAGAAAGAGAGTGGGAAGTGGGACTAGGGGTATGGGAGAGATGAGAGAAGAGGAAATGGAGGGCGTGGCCAGAGACGGACGGATCATGAGGCTAATGAAGCTCAGGATTCAAGGTCTCACAGGAGACCCTTCTAAATATTTTCTTTTGTTCTTAATTTGTGTGTGTGTGTGTGTGTGTGTGTGTGTGTGTGTGTGTGTGTGTTTAAAGTCCCCTATCCCAAATGGTATAAACTTCTGGCCTCACAAAACTGGGATCACTCCTATAGTGGAACAAAGCAATGAATAAAACAAGGATGGTGGAGCTGTGAGGGTGTTAGTCCATGGAAAGGTGTAACACTTTATGTTCCTGCATATGCCTTGGGTCCGTGTTCTGTGGCCACAGATTATACTCCCAGCGCCGTCTAGATACCTCTCAGGTGTGTCCATTCACCACAAAGGGAATAAAACCATTGCGATTTCAACACAGCTCCTGAAAAGCCTTCTCCAAGCATGACCTGCAGCTAGGGGGTAGTCAAGAGCAAAGTCCTCCAACAGGAAGAATAGCTCTTCCAGCTGAGGATGGATTTCCCTAAGCATGACTGCAAACCACCTCTTTATCCCCTCAATCTTTCATTCCAGGTAGTTACAGGGATACAAGTAAAATGCAACTAGATGTAAATTAAGTGGGAGTTGAAAAGCTCAGACATGATCCGGTATCCTCCTGGAGAGCAATGAGTACTCCAGTCTGGCTGAGATGGAGTCCCTTTACATCGGTGTCCCTTAAACAGAGCATATTCTCTCCCTTATAAGTGGTATTTATCACAACAGGCAACAAGCGACAACATGTAATTTTAAATCAGATGTATTATTAGTTACGGCATATGAAAATAAAACAGCAACATCATAACTCAGGCGGTGATCAAAATCCCCTTTATTTCCATGAGAAAAATGCAGGTATCTGTTTCTGTTCAATGCACAGTGCTTTTATTTAGACAATAGTGTGAGGTAGGAATGAATGCCATGGTTTTATTTAGTATAGTTTGGTGCTGGCTCCTCTTCATTCTGATCAAGGCTTTTAATTAAACCGACTACTATAATTCCTATGGAAATTAGTGTTTATGTTATTTTCCTGCTACAAAAGCATTTCTCTAGAACTTTTTTTTTAATCCCAGGAGCACAAATTGGAATTTTTTTTCTGCCTGAAATGTAATTAAAAACTCATTTGATTACTATATTTCTGGCTCTGTTTTACTTATTAAATTCCTGTAATCAGTTTTCTTTTATGAAGCTGCTGGGAAATGATCTCAAAAGCAACACATTTTTCTTTTCCTTGGCAGGTTCCTGAGTGTTTACTAAATTACATTCATAGCACCTGCCCATGATTCGAATTATTCCACCAATTTATTCTCTAAACCATTTAAGTTTATTTGGCTTAGCCCCACAAAAGAGACTTCTTTCCTTTCTCTAGCTCTTTATTCTCCCCCTTACTTCCTTTATGTTGAAAAAAATTTGTTAGAGGGGTACATATTTCTCGCAATTCCTTCTCTTTGTTTCATATTCTCCTCAAACGCAGCATTGATATGCTAGAATATCGTTTCCCCGTCAGGTGCTGGTTCTAGGCAAAGGTAGCAAAAACCTCATTCTGAAAAATTATTCTTACACTATAAATTTGTTATACAAATGCAGTTAACGAATGCAGAGAGAATATGGAACTATTAGAAAAGAAAACAGATCATCCACAAACCTAAATTCCAAGGTTTATGGTGATTATGTGCAATGCGTCATCAGAAAGATAATTGCTCCCAGTATTTAGAAAGGTATATGTATTCCTAAAAAACTTCTTATCAGCAGGTGACACTTGATGAGTTCTGTGCTAATGCTACTAGTTTCTATCTTGTTTGACTTGCTGTTCACTTAGTGAAAGAAAAGGGGACACTTCTCACTGTCGGCTCCTCTGCATATACATGTAGAGGGACTCTAAAGGTTATGTACATGGGGCCATTGGGTCCCAGGTTACTGGATCTCCTCTGTGGCATCCTTGTGGCGTGGCCATTCACAGTATTTAAACATATCCAGAGCCAGTGAACTCACTACCTCCCAGGGTCTGGTTTACTTTTTGTTCTGATTTTAAAATGTTGTTCCTTATACTGAGCTGAAATCTATATTCCCATAAGTTCTACCTAACAGTTATAGTCCTTGGGGTGCTCTCCCTTTAAACCAGAATCTACTCAGGCAGTGTAGGACTGATGACTCATGTGCTGCTCCAAGTGTGGGTTAGGGTAGATACTGACCTAATGACCTGATGTGGGATGTGCTGCTTACTATCCCTTGGGGCAGCTGTATGGGTATCATTGGGGCTCCAAAGCTCCCTTCAGCTTCCTCCTGGCCCATCACAGACAAGACCTTGGATACCTGCTCCGCTAGCGGACACAGCCTTGGGCATCCAGGCATCCAGGTGTCTGAGGGCCCCCACTTCCTTCCTGATTCCATTCACACACCATTGTTGAGTCCACACGTATTCCATACTTTATGTTTTGAAAAAGTAATATAGTCACATAGTTCAATGGATACAAAGGGTACAAAAGGTACAGTAAAAAATTTCCCTTCACTCCCTGCACCAGACTCCTACTGCATTCCACTTATGGATCCTTCAAGAAACATTCTATTCATATGTCAGTAAGCATATATAAATGTATATAATGTATATATGCAGGTGTATATAATGTATGTGTATAATACATTATATGTATATATATATGTACAATTAAGTTGATTCTCTCACTATTTTGGGTGTTTCTTTCAGAGAGGGAGTGAAAGCAAACCTTGTATAGCAACATCATTATGATGCTTGAGTGAGAACAAGTGTACTGTGTAGAAATTAGCATAAGGAATATATAGAGAGGAGAGGGACCAAATTCCAATTTTCTACTGTTATGTCACTGAGTTTTTCTTCTGCAGATCTTAATCTGCTGTGAATCCCGTCTACTACGGTTTTCCTCTCAAAAGTAGCAGTTTTCATTTGTAGAGGTTTGATTTGGGTCTTTTAAAAAAATATTTTCCAATTGATCTACCATATGATCCTGCAATCTCTCTACTGGGTATTTACCCCAAAGACTTAAAAAATCATATCCATAAAGATATTTGCACACCAATGTTCATAGCAGTATTATTAAGTGGCCAGGAGGACATGGAAGCAACCGAAATGTCCTATGTTAGATGATTGGCTAAAGAAGCTGTGGTACATATATACAATGGAATATTACTCGGCCATAAGAAGAGATGAAATACAGCCATTTGTGACAACATGGATGGCTATATTTTCTTGAACAGATAAAATATAATAAATGTCTTGATATTTTCTCTATCAATTCTATAATTTGTATAATTTCTGCATCTTTATTGATTGATTTTTTTCTCATTAGTATAGGTAAAAATTTTTTGCTTCTTTGCATGCCTGGTAATATTTTATTGGATATCAGACATTGGAAATTTTATATTATTGGGTGCTGATTTTTTTGTTTATTTGTGTGCACATTTCTTTAAACATTTTTCAGTTTTGTTCTGGAATGAAGTTAAGTTACTTGGAAATAATTTGATCCTTTTCAGGCTCACTTTTGAGCTTTGCTAGGTGGGTCCAGAGTGGTCTTTAATCTAGGGCTAATTTGAGCCCCACTCCTGAGACAATAATTTTCTGAGAACTCTACCTAGTATCTCACATATTTCAAGGTTTTTTCTTTAATATTCTGGCTGGTGGGAGCATGGACTATTCCCCACCTGTGTGAGCTCTGAGTGAGGATTGTTCTACTTGCTCCTTTTTGCCAGTTCTTTCCTCAGCCTCCGAAGTTTCCTCACATGCATGTGGTGAACAGCGCTGAAGACTCAGGGGGCCCTCTGCAGATCTCCGGAGCTCTCTCTTGAGCAACACTCTCTTCTCTTTCCTGGTACTCCTTCCTGGGAACTCTAACCTCCTTGGCCTCCCCAGACTCTTGGCTCTGCCTCCTCAAGTCAGCGAGACCCCTGGGCTCCGGCCAGGTTCCACATCCCTGTGCTGTGGCCTGGAAACTCTCTCCTGGTAGTAAGCTGGGACAATTGTAGGGCTCACTTCGTTTGTTTCTCAGGAATCACTGTATCGTGCTGCCCGTTGTCCACTGTCTGAAAACTGCTTCATGGATTTTTCTGTCCCATCGACCCCACCCCTGCCCCCCGCCGTTACTCTATCATGGACAGCAGTGGAAATGTCTTATTGATTTTAAACAACTCTGTCTTGGGTACTATCCCAAGAGCTCTCAGTGAAAGTGGAAATAAGGCCTTTCTTCTCTGTATCTCCAGCTCATCTCACAGGGACCCTGAGAAACGACAGCCCCTCCTCTACTCCACCCAGAGTGGTGGCAGAAAGAAAGGGTATAGCGAGCATTGCTGCCAGAGGTGGAGTGTAGGGTCAGGGCGTTCTGACCTGCTACAAACCCAGGATGACCCCCTTGGGAAATGAAGGTAGTATTCTCTCTTATTTCTATTATTCCTGAGACCTGTTTTTATCAGTTCACCCAGCTGCTAGGAGTCAGATCCTGGCCTTGCTTTCCCTCTGTCGTTGTGATCCACATTTGCTATCATCTGGCCCAGTGTGTGTACTGATTAGTTGACCACAATCAATCCTTGGAATTCAACTGCTGGATAGGTGGGGCAGTTGTGGAACAAGAGAGCAAACAAAGAGAAAGCCATGCTCTTAGAACAAGACTGAGAACTCCTAACGAGTCTTAGAACTACTCCCATACTCTATTGTTAGAAGGGGGCATAGAGGAACCACACTAAATTAAAACCAGATTTGTCTTTGAACCCCCAAATATCCAACTATGTCATTAATACTTTTTAAAAATGTCGAGGAAATTATCTGAGCTCACTATTCATTTTTTTTAACGCCAAAGAAAGAAGATGGTTTTCATGTCCCATTGTTGCATTACATATTTCCAGGGTGCTGGCAATAAGACTCAGGATCTTTTTCTTTCCCCCATCCCCCAACCCCATCTGCAACTAAGAGATACAATGCATGGTAGAGAAGAAAGAATTTAAAGTATTTTTTTAATATTAATTTTTGATAAAATATACACATAGACTTGGAGCTCATCTCAAATATTTCTTCAAGGTAATATTCCTGTGATGAAGATATGATTATCTTACTACTGTGATTATTTACTTTCCAAGCCCATTTGAGGGTTGATATTTTGAAATGGAAAATCATTAGCGATATGACCAGCTGGTATCATCTCTGCTCAGATCCGCAACAGGAGGGGCGAGAGAGCATGCAGGTGGTGGAAGACCTCGAAATTCTCTTGAATTTCACTTGGCTGGCCAGTCTGCATGTGCAAAGGGCATCTCTGAGAAACAAAGAATGTTCTGCTTAAGGTATGTGACTTCAGAGAGAAGTGGCGGGTTCTGAGAGCAAATCCAAACTTTAAATTAGTGAACTATTGAATTGCTAATCCTTCCTGGTTCGCAAAGGTTTAGATTATTCATGATTTAATCTGACAAATTCCTGAATTTTACATGCCAGGCTGCAATGATGCAGTTGGCTAAGAATCATAGTTGGCTTGCCAACCTTCTACTATTCCATCGTGCCGTAAAGGCCAGATGGTGAACTGATTTCCTCTAACTGAACTTGTCACCTTTCTCTAATCCTGCCTCTGCTCTGTGGTTTACTCTCTCAGGGAACTGAGCAATATCATCTCGACCCGACCGCCCAACCCAGTGGTCTCTGGGTCAGTCAGTCACTCATGACCACTCCCTTTATCTCCACATCCAAACTATCACCAGGTCTTGTCAATCCTGCAAAGTGTCTCTGTGTGTCAGTCTATTGCCACTCTACAATCCGAGTTTAGACTACCATCATCTTCTCAATTGCTTTAAACTTGCTGTAGCCTCCTCACGGGGCAACCTACCTTCTCCTGGCTCCCATCCTATCAACTCTCCACGCTGTATTCTACCTGGAGTGGTCAATCAAAATCACACATTCGAGTTCGCCACTCTCTACCCTGAACCTTTCAGTGGCTCCCATTTGATATGAATCTGCTGTAAGATCCTACTGGAATGGGAGAATTGTAATATTAAAAGAGAATGAAATCCAGAAATAAAACAAAAGAGGAAAAAACCATAAAACCCAATGGAAAACTTGGGTTGTGTTTCAAAAACGGAATTTTGAAATGCCCCAAATAATCCCATCAAGTTTTCTAGAAAACCTGAAATACACATCTTTCTATGCATTTTAACATTTTCTTGAGTGGAGAAAAAAGTAAGTTAAACTCCACATGGTTTGGCAGGGGAGTAGCCAAAGTGACAAGGTGTTAGTTAAGCAAGAGCAGACGGAGCTGGCTGTGGGGTCCAGGTGGGAAGCAGCAAACAGATTCCTCTCAAACCTCACTCTTTCTCTCTCCAGTTCAATGGCCTTTGAAACTCAAGGTTGTGTTAAAATTAATTTGCATTAAATTGCTTAAGATAATGTATTAACTACCATACAATGCTTCCAGTTGTTTTTAAAACGATTTGAAAAAACAAATAAACTCTAATGGTGAACACAGAAGCAAGCCAAGTCTTATTTGGACAAATGTTTTTAAACTTTGACATGAAAGAAACCAGGTTTAAAGTAAATCTTTAGTGTATAATTGCTAAAATCAGAAAATTAATGATCGTTTACATATGTTACACATATAACTGTGTCAGGCACTGTGTACTATTGGATTCTTCCCAGGCTAGAATGCAATAGAGTTAAAAGAGATCTAGCCTTATAATTTGTCTCCGCTGGGAGCAGAGTCATTTACTCCACCAGGACTGTGGTGTCTCTAACAGCAATTTCTAGTTTGCCATCTCAGTATGGTATGCATTTTGGCCTTTTTTGAGCTTAAGAATGGCCAGGGAAGTGTAAGCAGAATTCATAAGAAAGAGTTTCTGAGAAAACTCTTAAATGGGAGTTTATTTAGCTGGGAGGTGCATCCTTTTGCCTTTACTCCTATTTTTTTCTTGCTGCCAAAATATTGACATGATAGCTGGAGCTACAGTGACCATCTTGTGACTATGAGGCAGCCCTGAGAATAAACAGGGAGTAGGTCTCTGATAGCTATGGAATCGTCGTATCAGCAGCCTAGAATTGATTTATCTGGATTATTTTTAGCAGAGAGAAAAATGAATTTTTATTTTGTTTAAGCTATTGTGACTTCAGATTTCTGTTACTAGTAGCTGCAAGCAGTTTCTAATGGAGAGAATTGATGTTATATTGTAGTTCTTTACTTTCTGTCTACCTGTGCAGGTGTTAGAGGATTTCTAGGCATTTTGATGCTTGAACAAATTCCCTGCATTTTTTTTAAGAGTAAGACACAGGTTGAAAGGGAGCCCATTGTGGAAACTCAGAGAACAAGTAGGACAGTTTGAATCAAGAAATTTCCAGCCTTGCTATAAATGATTAATACTGGAAGAAAAGATTGCTCATTAATAAGAAAGATGGTGTGTGTGTGTGTGTGTGTGTGTGTGTGTGTGTGTGTGCGCGCGCGCGCGTGCGCGCTTGTAGGTTATCTTTGAAATGATAGGATAGGTGAAATCAAAGTTTCTTGATCTGTGATCTTGAGAAAAGTGGTCTACTTCGTGATGCTGTTTGCTCCTACAGCCTGGGAATTGGGTCTGGAAATCCTTACTCTAAGGTCACTGCAGAGATAGTCTTCTAGTTATCTTGGGAGTGGTGATCAGGGTCTATTTCGATGTTACTTGCATGGATCCAGGAAGATTTTTTTTTTTTTTTTTTTGGCAGTGGTTGTAGGTACACTGTGGTAGACAGCAGAAGCTATACACTGTCCCTTTCCCCTTCCTCTGGTAACAGACTCCATTCCATGTGTTCTGAGTAGGCGCATAATTCAGGCCTAACAGAATGGAATGCTGCAGTGATTGGTGTAGCGATAAGGATGGAACCCAAGCTAAGGCAATCAGAACTCTTTTTAGGTTTTACCTGGAACTAGTGAAAATGATTTTTTTTTCTTTTTTTTGGGGGGTGCAGGTTGTGAATAATTCTTATAGTAAACATGTGACCTTAGAGCTGCCAAGACATGTAAGGAAATCCTGACTGGGCAAGGCCAAAACATAACTAAGATGCAGGGAAAAGGGGACACATGTCTTATGGTAGCCTTTGAGTCCCCTGGATCCAGCTGAATGCCACAAGCCAACTGCACCTCTAAGTTCCCCAGCTCCTTGAGCTAAAATTTTCCATTTCTGCTCAAACTAACTTGAATGAGTCTCTGAGCTCCAAATATGAGTCTTTTGTTATTGTCACTTATTGCCTCTGTCACCCCCAGGAATTACTTGAGATCGAAACCTCCATCAGACTTTGAACTGGTGTCTGGCATGAGGAAGCCTCAACTTCCCCAGCATAGAAATTTGCTGCTAACACTCACTGGGCAGTCCTCTTTACCCAATGAGGGTCAGGGACCAGCTAGCAGTTATTTCCCTTCCTTGAACCCCCAGAGTCTGCCAGACTCTAAAAGGTTTTAAAAGGTTGTTCATTCTTAGCCTGCCATATTCTGGGGACTCAGAAAGTACTAATAGAAGATGCCAATTCCTTCTGGTGGCAAAGTCAGCAGGTCTACAGAATTTTGGCTTCTAAGGAAGGAGGACTCAAAGGAATTGGGTGGCAGCATCCATTTGCCCTGGACAAAGTGAACTCAGAAAGGAAAAACAGCAACTAGATGTTATGTTCCCCTTAGTGGGAGGTCAATATTATTCCATGTTTGTCATATTGGGTGAGATGATTTTTCCAGTTGCGAAAACTATTTTTGTATGTGTACAATATTTACTCTGTGAATCTGTTACTATTCAGCAGTAACAGGTAGGCTGTGTCAGATTTTTACAAATGCCAAAAAATATTGTTAGAACTTTGTTTGTTAGTGATATCTGAGATCTTAATATTTAAATAATGTGAGACAGGCACCCAAGTAGCAGTAAAGATGATAAAGCCACAGAGGTAATGCTTGGTATGAGGGCAAGCAAGCTCATCGGAATGATTCAGATCTATAATTGGAACCCTGAGGGCACAGTCTAGCCACGTTACTACATCAGTGTTTGCAGCATCAATGTCTAATATCCTGAAATCTAACTACAGTAGTAGTGATAACTTAGAAAGAGATAATTTTATTTCTAAGGTTTGAAGCAGATTAGTAGTGCTCGTAAAAGTGAAAATGCAACAAGGCTTTATAGTAATTTTCTCTCCCTCTTTTCTTTCCTTTTCTATTTCCTTCCTTACCTCTCAGGTTGCTTATTGAGCTTATTTTATTTATATGCTCAAGGGATTCCTTTGTGGAAAATGATATTTACAGATGACATTAACATTCTGAATTTATGAGGCCAGGATTTTAGTCTCCTTAGATTAATAGCATTGTTATTTCCATAATATAGGGCAAGAGTCTGAAACTCAAATGTCTATAGGGCCAGGCCAGTAAAGTTAATGAACAAAATAGGCTGCATTATACAGTTGGGAGTGGTGGAGCCTATGGCAAACTGGACATTTTACAGTTTTAAAAACAGCATTCAACTGAATGAAACATGTCTGCGGGCCGAGTCTATTCTGTGGGCCACTGTTTGCTCGCTGTGATAGACGGCAAACACACCTTGCCGAAATGAACTAACTATTGAGTATTGAATGTGTCCTGTGTTCCAGGTGCCATACTAGGACCTCTCCATATGTGAGCAGATTAATCTCACCACGATGTTGTGAGATAGGTATTTTGGGCCTTGATTTGACAGATGAGGAGCCTGAGATTGGGGAAATTAAGTCAAAAGAGCCAAAGTTTACATGGTTTAGTGTACAGTGGAGCTGGAATGTCAGTGCAGGCCTGTCCGAGTACAAAGTCCATGGCGTCCGTACACAAGGGGTCTCAGCCGGGACGTTGGCAATGACAAGTGTCTCACACCTAACTGCAGCGTCGGGACAGTGGAGCAACTCTTTTGTTCCAGTGTCCATGACACTGTTTCATGGCAAATTCACAGGAAGGAAGTGACCTTTCTGAGTTATGAAGGAACACCACCTCCCAAACATTGGGTGTAGACAGTGAATCTTTTATTTGTGACTCATCTACTCTATCCTGCCCTGGGAAAATAAAACAAAGGTTTTAGGTAGTAAATAACAGGCAGACCTAAAGACAGCTCATGTAAACGGGAGCAAAGAGAACCATCTCTTCTGTTATAATAAGCCCCCTCCAGGATACTATCATAGGTTATCCTGTTGGTTGGGTTTTCAGAGCAGATTGGTACCTAATCAATCATGCTCACTGTGTAGGCAACATCTGACTTGGAAGGAATGGCTGCTGACCCAGAAGCCACCGCCTTTGATGAATGGGGCTTCATATAAGAGGTGGTTGGAACATGTAACTAAA